CATTAACATCTAAAAGCTCACCAAAATCCAAATAGGAGCCCCTAAAAAGAAATTTAAAAAACAATCCAAATTAAACAAGCATATTGAGAAAAAGGGAGAAAAAAGCATTAAATTAATTAAAGATGAAGTGAGTTCTCACCTGCTCACGCAAGGAGTGGATGAAGCTCTTGAGCTGCTGCTCCAGTCTTGTCCCGGACATTTCTTCCTTCCCAGAGAGAGAGAGATAGAGATGAAGTGGAGTGTCTGAGAAACCAAAGGCTAATCTGCTCTGGCTTTATAGAAACTCTGGTCTGACTGAGAGTGAGCTTTGAGTGTTGGTTTGCATATAAACTTGTTTATGAGTGCAGACTGCAGAGAGAGAGAGAGATTTGTTGGTTCATAGGGTTTTTAGTGGAGAGGATGGCATGGTATTCATGATTGCCAACTCAACTCCATCATATTTCACAACAATCTAAACTGGCGGTTTCCTTCTCCTGCTTTGGCTGTGTTGCCTTACCTGCACCTTTTGCTTCATCCCATTAAGGCCTAGTTTGGGATTGCTGTCACTTTTTAAAAAAGTTGATTAAAGCGGTGGTCCAAAATGCCCTGCCAGAAACATGGTGATTAGTTAGTCTGTAATTTATGTGATCATTCTTTGTCTGTGAAGAAAAAAAAACAGATATGACATCTAAACAGAGATTATCTGAAAATTTCATAATTAAAATCAGCTATATATAAGAAATTAGCATTTTTTCTGTTTATTTTGTTGCACAGAAGATCAAGTTTATTTGTTCCTTGGCTCTTCTTTGTTTTATCTTTCCCCTCTAAACTAATCACATTCCTTTCCGATCAACCAAACAGATTTGGAACACTCAACCTTATCAGCATTACATGCCAATCAATCAAAAACATGTTCATTTTGTGCTAGCAGTGAATGAAGTCCACACTAGAGTTTAACCAAATAAACCCATTATTTCTAAATGAATCTTCTTTGAGAAATGAAAAAAAAAATATATATATATATATATAT